GAAAGCATTTTGTTTGATGTACTATGTCATGGCTAGTACCAAAAATAAGCATGTCACCCACATATAAACAAATAATCACACATTCACTATTTTCTAATTTTGTGTATACACATTTATCAACCTCAACAGTAGAAAAACCGTTACTAACTAAAGTTTGGTTGAACTTATCATACCATTGCTTAGGAGCTTGTTTTAGACCATACAAAGATTTGAGGAGCTTACAAACTTTATTTTGTTGTCCAAGAATTACACACCCCTCAGGTTGGACAATATAAATTTCTTCCTCTAACTCACCATTTAAAAAAGCTGTTTTAACATCCATTTGATGAATAACTAAATTATATGTAGATGCTAAAGCAATCAAAATTTGAATAGAGGAAATCCTTGTTATAGGAGCAAAAGTATCAAAATAATCAACATTTTGTTTTTGATTAAAACCTTTAGCTACCAATCTAGGCTTATATTTTTTAATTGATCCATTGGGGTTATATTTCTTTTTAAAAATCCATTTGCACCTAATTGGTTTTACTCCGGGAGGTAAATCTACCAAGGTCCAAGTATTACAATTTCTAATAGAATCAAGTTTAGATTGGACAACTTTTTTCCAAAACAATGCTTTAGTTGAGGAGAAAGCTTGTGAAATCAAAAAAGGTTCATCATCAATAAGATATGTGTAAAAATCATTTCCAAAAGATTTTTCTTTTCTTTGTCTTTTACTTCTGCTTAAATCCTCATGAAAAACATCAAGCGAACGATGTGTTGGTGTTTCACCAAAATTTTCTAATTTCAATGGAAAAACATGTTAAAAAAAATTCAGCATTTTTTGTTTCAATTATTATCTTACAATCAAGCACATCGCTCTTTAAAACTAAAAATCTATACGCAGCACTATGATTAGCATAACCAATACACATACAATCTGATGTCTTAGAACTTATTTTCCTTTTTTTAGGATAAGGTAACATAACTTTAGCTAAATAGCCCCACACCTTTAAAAATTTTACACTAGGCTTATGTCCCTTCCATAACTCATATGGTGTTTTACCTGTCTTTTTATATGGAATTCTATTTTGTAAAAAACATGTTGTTAACAAGGTTTCATTCCAAAGGTTATCAGGTGCATTAGAACTAATTAAAAGAGCATTCGTCATTTCTTTTAATGTTCTATTTTTTCTTTCAGCTATTCCATTAGATTGAGGTGAGTAAGGAGGTGTAACTTCATGAATAATTTTTTCTTCTTCACAATAATCATTGAATAAGGTGTACTTACTACCTCTATCAGATCTAACTCTTTTAATACTTTTATTTAATTGATTTTCTACTTCTGCTCTATATAAAAGAAACATGTTAAAAGCTTCATCTTTATTTCTAATCAAATATACTCTGGTATATCTAGAAAAAATCATCAATAAAAGTCACATAATATTTTTTTCCACCTCTAGTCATAATTTGCTTTAAATCTCCCAAATTAGAATGAATTAATTCTAGTATTTCGATGTTTGTTTCTATAAGTAAGCATGACTTTTTAGTTATTTTTTATTCCACTTATATTTCACATTTGTTTAAACAACCATTACTAAAACTAGAAATTAAACCTTGATATTGTATTTCTTTTATATAAGAAGCACTAACATGTCCTAATCTAGCATGCCAAATATCCATACAGTCAAGCAAATAAGCAGAAGATGAAATATTTTCATTGATAACATAAGCAACATTGAGTACAAAGAGTCCCTGTTTACAATAATCTTTTCCCACAAACACATTATTTTTTGTCATCACAATTTTATTAGATTCAAAAGACACTTTGACTCCAACTTTCTCCAGTAAACTAACAGAAATTAAGTTCACCCTAATACTAGGCACATGGAGCACTTCGTTAAGAGCCAGGGTCTTGCCAGATGTGAGCTTCAGAAGAACTGTTCCTTTTTCAATAATTTTGTTTGCACAGATGTGCTTGGTAGCCCCATAGTCTACCACTCAATTACTCACATTAGCCATTAGTAAGGCTTGAGAAATGACCACAACTATAATATCATCTCCTTCAACCAAATTTGTATTTGGTTTTGGAGGATTATCACTTTTCTTCCTGTGTCTGCATTGAGCAGCACGATGACCAATTTTGCCACAAACAAAATAATTTCCTCCACCAATTTTAAAAGTGGGATTATTCACTTTTGGAACATAAGGTTTATTATAATGAGACCTTTGATTAGGTTTGTTGTCGTACCTTTTCTTATTAGCTTGTATCATGTTTGCCCTTGATGCCAATGCCTTTGCCCTTGCAGCCTTGAGTTCCTTCCTATTTGTGTCCTTAATGATAATGTGAGTGATAAGTTAAGCTAGAGACAACGATTTATTCTTATGTTTTAGTTACTGCTTATAATCCTTCCAAGATTTTGGTAATTTTTCAATTAGAAGATAAAATTCTTAGACAGTATGATCTTCTTAGCTTTCATGTTTTCTAGCAACTTGTAGTATTCATTGATCTGAGTCTTGATATCTTCTTCATTGTTCATCTCCCACTTATAATAATGTCCAATAATGAACTTCTCTCTTCTGGCATCCTCAGCAGTATATTTGAGAATCAGAGACTCCCAAATTTTGTTAGTTTCCTTATAGGAACAATAGACATCAAACAATTCATTAAACAATGTACTGAAAATAGTATGTTTACAAACCTTGTTAGCAGAAGTCCAGTCTTCCAACAATTTTGGGGTAGCATTTGAATCTGGCTTCAGTTGCGTGAAAGCATGAGTTACGCTGTGCAGGTCAAGAACACAATAGACACGCTCCTGCCATTGTTTAAATTTTTTCCCTTGGAACATTTATATCTTTGACATGTCTAGAAAAGGTTTCGCATAGTTGATTGCGGGAACAATTGGATAAGGTGGATTCATGTTGATACCGTTTTCATGGTTATTTGCAGCGTTGTTGATAGAGTTTTCATTATTTATTGATTCAGTCATAATCATTAAGATTGTTGCCAAAGTGACCCGAAATAACTAATAAATAATTTAGTCTAAGGCGTGCAGAACACTATCTTTAAGGATTATTTCAGTGTAGTCGAAAATCCTCCAGGATACAGTAGACTCTTCTTGTCTGAATGTACAAGGCTCTTAAGAACTAGCAAGCTCCAACTCATAACCCAAAGAAATAAATATAATAAAAGTCTGTGCATCTTCCGTGCCGTTTCGTGTGATTTTCTCTAAAGATTAAAATACCTTAATCATTATAATTGCTCAAGTAAACGTTACATATAACTGAAGATATGATTAATAATAATAATAATAAAATTAGAGTAACAAAATAAAATTAATAATTAATAAATTCTTTTAAAATATAATTATATTATTTCCAACAAAGGTTAGGCCAAACAAAATACATTCAGATGGTCAAAATTAACTCACACAATGGCTGGACGTAGAAAGCTCCATGCTTTTCTATGGAGTAGGTACAAAAACTTCATCTCCTTGCTTTCATTGATGAAAACATTGACAAAGAAAGATGAAAGAGTATTTTTACCTTACTTGGATGTTCAGAGAGCAATCAACATACTCCTTTCAACATGCAAGGGCAAAAATGATTCTCTTTGGTGCAATGGAGGTTGCGGTTTCAAGTTTTGTAGAAGGAAAAGTGGGAAAACTTTGCTCAAAGCATGGAAGGGGGATTGCTCAAGGTTTTTTTGGCTGTGAAGGATGGTGGTTTTTCACCTTAAGCTTGCTGGAAAATGAGAGAAAAGATGGTGGGGAGAGATGAGAGAAAAACCGTGAGTGAGTGAGTGAGAGTTAAGGCGTCTCACATTGAGGGAAGGAGAGTGAATGTGTAATAGAATCTCGTTGCCACATATGTTAAAATCATGCACGGGCACCATGGACTTTTCACACACTTAAAAATCTGAAAGAAAAACCTTGCTAAACTCAAAATTTCAGCTTAGTAAGACTTGAACCTACTATACTTTAAGTCCAAGAGAATGGAGTAGCCTATCCACCGATACACCACCTTTATTAGTATATAAGAAATTTGGAATTCTAAATAATTCAAAGTATTAGAAAATCTCATCTTTCAAAAATAAATCAAATATGTATTTAAAGACGAATTATTTTAACAAAATAAAAATAAGTACTTTTATCTCAAAACTTATTTAATCAACATCGTAAAATTTTACAAAATGCATTAAATTACCTTTTAAAAAGAATAAATCGTGCTAACACACATGTAAAAATTAGGATGTTACAAATTGCACATTAGTTAAAAAGTATAATTAAGCCAAATTTTAATACTTATTTGAATAATTCTCAAATAAATATGTTTAAAATTTGTCATTTTTTAAATCTCAAATATCTCCAAATAATTATTCTAAATGTTCTCTTTCTATTAACTTCTTTTTTCTCATCTTGAATCTTAACTATTTATACTCTTAAAATTTCTTTTATTTTTAAACATTTACTCTTTCGTTTCTAAAACTGAATAAATAATAAAATAAATTTAAGAGAAACTTTTTAAATAATTAATTTGAGAAAGAAAGTTTTTGATAAGTTTTCCCGTTCTTTTTTGGGCAAGTTGGTTTAATCCAATGTGTTTGGGCCTTAAGGGTCATAGCAGTAACATTTCTAAAAGCGCTTTGATCTAGCCCATAGATACTTTGAGGCCTGCTTTTTTTCCGAGTCTTAGAACAGAAATTGACCGAAAAGAAAAGAAACAAGCCATGACCCAAAACACAATTAACCTTAAAATGCAAGCTAGGTGTGGCTGTTCTTTAATGCAGCAGAGCATCCATATGTACTCACTGAAAAGATGTCTTCAGATTTTGGTGCAATGTCCATATTTCCAATATCAACATCCTACACCGGTGGAACAGAAAAGATAGGGAAGAGAATTGATGGTAGGGACTTTATTAATTGGATCAGTTACCATATTTTAAAAGTAACCAGGCAATGATACCATCCTATAAAAGTCAAAAGGAATTCGATAAGTAATTTTGATGTCGTTTTTCAATCAGAATTAAAATTTCGTCTTGATAAGAGACCTGCTTTTAGATTGTCGCGAAGTACCGAAGTGAAACTCTAATTATGATTGAAAAATAGTACGAAAAAAACCTAAGGTACTTTACCTTAGTATTGTCTTACTAGGAAAGATAGACTCTTGATGAATTTTTTACAAACAAAATTTTGTTCCAAACAGCTTCTCTCTATTTATTTAAATCTTAATATAAGGCATGACCACCTGACTCAGTTGAAACCCAGTTAGTGGTTCAAAAACAAGAAATCTAGTCTTGTACAGTCGTCTGAAGAGGCAGAGAACTTTCAACTTCTTTTGCGGCATTGGAGTGCACTTCAGCAACTGCCTTGGACAAACCAAACATCTGAAATTGATCCAAAACCACACTATATCAGCAAATGATAAAGGTGATGTAAATAATTTTTCTCAAGAAATTTAAAGGACTGTTTGGTTTTAAATTTTTTTCTGTTTTCACTTTTAATTACAAACTTGTCACCTTGTTTTCATTTTATTTCCGGTTTTCAAATATTTGTACAAGAAAGGTTGAAAACAAGTAACAATTTTGTAATTGAAAAAAAAATAAAAATAAAAACAGAAAATATTTTTTGAAACCAAACAGCTTCTTAGGTACCAACCTTTTGAATTGTTTTCTGGAAGCAAGTTTTGTGTTCGTCCATGGAAGCATGAATAAACTCGTCAATGTGATCCTTCAAATCTTCCAAGAAAGCAGATTCCTCATTCTTCTTCTTTCGACATGAAGTAACCGGTGGGGCAGTTGTAGCAGATGAAGTCTGCTTTTCAGGTTGGCTTTTCTGAGTGTTCATACTCTCCAAGACTCCGATAGCTAAAACAATTTACCCCACAAACTCAATTATCATCAGGAAATTAATTAAACATTACCGTCACAAACAGTAAAACTATATTATCTCCATGAACCAAAATATTAAAATGCAACGATAATAATTTTGATTTAACTTGTTCTAGTGAGGCAGGGCCTTAAATTCATGGAAAACTAAAAGGCAATAATACACAATCTAAAATTCCATTCAATACCCTAGAAAATATGAGAGAACACTATCCCTAAACAATTTAGATAGAACACAAGTCATGCCCTGCAGGAAAAGAGAACAGCCAGATAAAAGTAAACATATCAACTCTCACGGACTATAACTTTTTAAATGAATTATTGAATCAAATACCTAATCATCAACCAAACAATAGAAGAAAGGTCACAGCAGCATCAACCTTGGAACTATGCCCCCAAAGGAAAACATATGAAGTCAATTAGAATACTACTCATCCCAATGTATGAACAGCTCAGGCGGTCAAATAAGTTCCTTAAGTTTATCTCATCCAATCTAACCTATAGAGTCTAGTCAACGAATTTAAGTACTCAAATCAAAAGGATGTCCAAGTCCAGTTAATGCTTTCATAAACCGTTCTAACAATTACTTCGAAGTTGCTCAGGAGAATTAGACAAATAGTAATAAACTAGCCAAGGCATAATGATCCTTTAGAGGGGAAGAAACTGCATGGCATAAAATCAAATCAAAACATTCACAAACACTACTCTTCAAAATCAAAACACACATATCTTAAGTTATCTCGACAACATAAAATATAATATCCTCCCAAAATATTCATATTCACATAGTTAAAATAAAATTTAGAAAAAAGTCCACTTTACCCCCTTCTATGTTGGGTCATATACAATTTAGACTGACTTTTGAGTGTGTGTAACGCGATGCCCTATACTTACCATCATGTATGAAGAATCCCTTTCGTTGTAGAGACATCCAATTTCACCGTTAACACATCACGTGCATTGTTTTTTGGACAAAAATACCCTTCCAAACCCCTAATCACTTGTGTTTTAAGGTCAATGTCTGGCACCAACTGCTGTTACCTTAGCTTAGTGGAAGTGAATTTTTTTACCTTGGTTTGGTGCTGTGAGAGGTACACTTGACACTAACAATTTTACCAATTCTAAACCCAGGAAGTACTGTGAATACAACTGGTGGATTTGATTCCACGTCTGGTCTAAATAGAGGAACATTTCATCATTCACACTTTCCATGTACACATCAGAGAATCTACACCCTTTCCCCACTTCACAATAATAAACCACATTTTGTTCAATGGCATCCACAGCAGCATCAACATCCCAACCTGAAAGCTCTCATCTCATCCACAATCAACCTCACAAAGTTCCAAACGGACTTAACCACATGGTGAAGGACAGTTATAAAGTGATTAGGACTTAATCCTAATATATGAACATTATCAAGCACAAATAATTGACCACTTTGATTTAATCTCTTCTCAATTGACTTGTTATGCCTATTAGCTTCCTCTAACTTCTCTCTAAGAAAAATAATATTGGAATCCTTAAGCCACACTTGTGACTCCAACTTCTTCCCCATGATCTCATAGGTCTTTGTAACACTCTACCACTCCTTTGATTCAGCTACAGGAATTGTTGTATCAGGCGAAGGATCAAACTGTTTCTTCAAGTAACATTGCTTAAGCTCAGACAAATTCTTCAACTCATAAGCTAGCCATAGATCAGCAGCTTCAATTCCATCATGGTTAAAAGGTGATTGAGCAAATTGTAGCTGAGCATATGCAACCTTAACAGTTGAAATGCTAGCAAACAGCTTTGCAAGAAGTGCTCATCACCACGCTCTTCCTCATGGCCTTATCTTTGGACAAACCATGTTGGAATGTCAACCAAAACCAAATAAAAAAAACTCCCTCAAGGCCACTGATCTCGAATGCTGAATCTAAGCCACCAATCCTAGCTGCAAGCCGTCATAGTAGTCATCACAGCGGATCACGACCATGAACCTGCAAAGCCAAGTTTGAAGAACCATGACATTGAAGATGCTAAAAGCCATAACCACCACCACCAAGCTTAGAAGTGTTGCCTAAATCACCACAACCCTTCCGCCAAGTCGTCATCAAAGTCAAGCAATGGCCAAGAAGAAGACAAAGAAGATGAGGAAGGAGATTATGGATTTGAGGGCATTTTGTCCAAGAAACTACGCACATGAGGAGCACGTTGTGCGTTAACAGTGAAATTGGACGTCTCTACAATAGAAGGGCTTCTTTGCAAATATTGGTAAGTATAAGGTGTCGCGTTGCACACTTTCAAAAGTCAAGATCTAAATTGTTCATGACCAAACATACAAGGAGATAAAGAAGACTTTTCCCTACAATTCATACATCACAACTGTCCCAAATGGACACTTGCAAGAGTGAGCCAACAAATTTAAATGATAAAATCTAGAGGAGTTACCAACTTACCATTAACATAATTAGGTTAAGATAAAAAAAAAAAAAATTGAAAAACCCTTTAAAAATTTGAAATCAGTGTTCAAAAACAAAGTCAAGTTCAGCAGGCTGTTTATGCAGAGAGAAGCTGGAAATTAAAATAATACCAGTTACGGGACCCCACTGTACATTAGTCCTAGCATGGTTATATCAAAGACCCAAAGTCAATTATGCAAACTATAATAACTAAAACATATTAAATTTTCCACATAAATAAAAGAAATAATCAAGAAAATTGAACCATAATATTTACAAGCAAAACAGAATAAATATAAAACATGAATTTGAATATTTAAAAGTTGTTGGTCATTGTATTAGAGTCTCCATGGCCATGTGGTCAAGGATCTACACGTTATTAGAGAAACGTTCATACCAAGACAAATGACTGCACCCAAAGAAGAAATATAAAGTCTAAGCTATCAGCTAAATTTCCCAAAAATCAGTTATAGCATTACATGTTGTTAGATACAGATCACCCACAAAACACAATCCTTGATTTCTGAAGAAAATTGACATTAGATTTAAAGGAACCAAAATCTGAAACTTTTCATGCTTTAAGATCCTTATGTTAGCCTTGCAAAGAAATAAACAGTGCACGATTTCGACTTGTGTAGCACAACTAATGGAAACAAGTAACAACTATTGCCAGAAGAATAACTCATGCCAATTATGCAAAGAACAGTTCTAAATTCGGAATGAAACTTATGCTAACCAACACCAAATAAGAAATAGAGTTTTTAAGATAAGAAGCATTTTATCTTCCCAAAGAAACAAACAGTGCATGATTTCAAGTAGTGTAGTGAAACAATCTATGATCAAGAGCTGCTATAACAAGAAATCATGCCACTGATGCATGGAACAGATAAAAGATGGAAGGAAAACTGGTATTGACTAAGAACAAATTCAAACCTAGAATTTTCATTATTAAAACCCTTGTGCATTAGATTTCCAAAGAACAATTCAATAACAGTCCAAATTCATATAGAAATATAAACAACAGAATTTTGAAGTTTTAAAATGAGTAAAAGCGTAAGTGTATAAGTACAAGGCATATTGATGTTCCTATCATCACTTAACTCTTCTTCGACTTCAAACCAATTTCCTTTAGAGATTAATCAATTAATTAAGTGATTGATTGATTAATTAATATGTAACAACAGAACGACCCGGTAACCCTAACAATCGTTTCCTTCAATACAACTGGAATAAAAAAAAGAAGGGGAGAAAACGAAGCTACCTGATGAGACGACTTCGAAATTAATTCAGAAATTCAAACCACAAACATTGAAATGGCTAAGCAGAAAAGGAAATTTTTGGTGGATTTTATTTTGAATGAACCGACGCTGTCACTTCCTTGAACGAGAGAAGATTAAAAAACAGAGAAAAAAAGAGTACGTTTGGAATCCTTATAAAAAAATAGAAAACTTATAATTGTCAAATAAGTTAATTTTAATATTTTTTATAAATTATTAAAATAAATTATTTTTATTTTGTTTTAAAAATTGTTATTAAGTTTTTGTCATAGAACCAAACAAAATGGGGAAGAACTTGTGAAAAATATTCATTGTTGGAGACACAGAATAATATTCTAATATAAAAAAATCTAGATGAAAAGCGTGATTTATAACAAGAGAAAGGTAAATAATATATCTATTTAAAAATATTTTTAAAATAAAAATAAAAATTAACTTTTATTAATATTATTTTTTAATTCTTTAAAAATATTAAATTTCATCTTTCTAATTATTTAATAATTGAGATATTAACATTTTAATTATGTGTATTAAATTTTAGATAAATCTCATTATTATGAAAATATAATCTTAAATTCAATAGTTACATATATTTTAAAAATGTATATCATATATTAAAATAAAATTATTCAATGAAGTGTTAAATAAGTTTTTATTCATATAATTTTTATAAACTTAATACATATAAATGAAAAATTCAATCTCACCCAATGAGATAAAGTGTGTTGTTATTGCTGTAATTACTATAAAAAATAAACATTGATAAGTTTTCTTTTAAAATAACTTGATTATCACCCATAATTTTTTGTAATTGATTAATTATGTAAAAAGTTAAAAAGATAAATATATATATAATTCTTTTACAAGACTTTTTTATTTATTTGTTAAACAATTATCTAACATGACAAATTTAAATTATTTTTTAGTTCTTATAAAAAAAAATTTAATTTAATTTTTATTGGTTAAAAATTGTATAGTAATACCTATACAAAAAATTATTTTTAATTTTATTTTTATTGTTGACATTTTCATGTCAGTGTGAAAGTGATATTTTTTCATCATGTTTATATTTTTTTTCATGTCGAGCTTCATATCTTAATTTGTTTTTAAATAAACATTACCGTTAGTGTAACATCCTCGTTGTTGCTAAACGATTAATTTATTAATATAGTTCTAAGTTAAAGTATAGTATTTGATTTTTTTAGAAAAAAATTGGGATAGAATTAACATGAGATGCTTTAGACAAAATTGTTAGGTATATTTTTAAGAAATTTTGGTAATTTTTAATTTTAAAATTTTTAAGTTTCAAAAAGTGTCAATTTGTATTGGTTAAAATTGTTGTATAAAGCTAAAAAATAACATTTTATTTTAAAAATAAAAATATAATAATAATAATTATAAAATATTTATATTTATTTATAAATATTATTTGGAATATAAACATAATTTTTTTTATAATTAATGAGTATTTCTGGATTTTCTGGTTAATTTTAAGTAAATTAGTTATATGCTCAAGCAGAAATTGCGTGTAAAAATTTTAGACACCAACTAAAGGATCAATAGTGTCAAAAATTATTTTATAATTATGTTTAATATATTTCATGATTATTTTTAAATTTTAGGATTTTTATCTAATTATTTCAATTAATTACAAAAGAATTAGTAAAAATTTTAATATTATATTATTATTTTTACTATTTAAGATAAGATCAATTCATTCAATTCATTTTCTTCTCTCTTGGCTGTCGTAGAGTGCTCTTCTTCTCCTTCCAAAAGCTTTGAAACTTCTTTGACTCTAATCTTTTGATTTTTCAAGTAAGTTCATTAAATTTTTTTAATATTCCATCTATTTTCATCATTTTGAACACTTTGAACCAATTAATTTTTTTTATTTTCTCCCTCTTTTTGGGTGCTGGAACAGTGGCATGAGGGTGAGATTTTGTCCAAAATTTTTGTTTCTAAATTACGTTTTAATTAGCTTAATCCTTCTATGTTTTATATAAATAATTTTGGTGCTTTTTGTTTTGTTAAAAATGCATTTGAGGGTTCAAAACCCTTGGTCTAGAGGTGTTGTCCCAAGAGTGTTATCAGGAGAAAATAATTGTTTTTAATCACCTTTAGGCTTATAGTATTCCATTTACATCATAGAAAACAATTGTAAGACTCGTAAGTCATTTTTGCGAAGATTAGAAAATGATAGTTTCAACTCACTAGTAGAAGGTTGGGTGATTAATGCCTTTTAACATTGATCATGATTATGTGTAATTATTTGGTTAAGATCGTGATTTGAGAAGTGGTGAAAAGAAGTTGTTGGTGAGAAAAAAATCGGTATACACTTTAAGGTAAAGGGGGACATATCTATTTTCAAGGGTATAGTAAAAAAATGTTGAGAGATGTGTGTTTTATTCCTTGCTATGTATGTATAAATTATTTGAAGGAATTTATAATTATTTCCATACTTATTGTACAATTGTTTGATATTCCTTTTGAGATTGATTTTATGTGTGATGATGCTTCTATGATAATTGTTTGTTGAATTCAGTATAAATAATTGATTGCCTAAAATATTTGAGGAATGAACTATCATTCATGTGGAGTGAGCATATAGAAGGTATGTTGAAAGTTGAAAAGAATTAGAGAATTGTGAAATAAAGATGTAAAAAAATGGAAAGATTTGAAAAAAAAATTGATGGTTTTGAGACGTGTTTTAGAAATTGATAAATGCAATTGTGGTTAATTTTCTTCTTAAGAAAATAATTTTTTTTAAAAAAAAATCTTCTTTAATTTCAAATGGTTTGGTCAAAATTTATTTAATAGTTTTTATACATTTAAAGTATACCTATATACATATTTAAATAATTTAAAGTATTATAATTCATTTTAAAGTATTATTTTAAATGAGTATTTTGAAATGTAGTGATAATTGGAAAAAAGTATTTGAGAGTCATTGGAATGGCTGGAAAGTTATGAAATGTGGTGATGGTGAGTCTCTGCTTAAAATTAGAAGTGTATTGGAATTTTCTGACTGTTTTGTAGAGAGAAGAAAATTTAGAAATATCTGAATTATAGAGGAAACTCTGCCGGGTTGTCGGTGTAATTTTGAAACATATGTTGTTGATTAAAAAGAAATGTTTAATACCTAATTAAAAGACTGAAATTAGGTTCATGCATCATAAGCATGTAATGATGATGGTATTGGATGGGAAGTATACGAAATCTAGGGGAGACTCCAGGTTAGTCTTGGGGATAGTCATTTAAAGTATACCTATATACATATTGTGATTGAGTTGGACAAAGGCCAGGGCTCGCAACCCTATATTGTCGGTTCTCACTGCAAAATTGGACTATCCTGACAAAACCCGATGGATTCTCAAAATCAGTTGAGCTATATCTTTGAAACTATTTAATGAGATGGTTATGACCAAGAATGGTTGGTGACAGTGAACTCCTGATCCTTCCAAGAAAGAAAGAAAGAGAAAAAGAAAATGGTTTGGGCCAACATGCATGTGTCAGTATAGCAATTAACTAGGTGATGCACAGAATCATACATGGTATGTACATTGTGTGTTGAGTTGTTGCTATTTGCTATAATGATTGTAAATATGTTGACGTGTTTTTTACTGTACTTTGGTTGAAATGGGTTTGTCTTACCCTTTTAGTTGCTATATATGTTGTATGTGAATATGTTTAGTAGGTGAGGACACAAATGGCTCGACCACCGTACCAATTTAGCATCACGATCAGATATGATCCTGAAAGAAGATGGGCGCACAATTGGGAGCGACAACAGTTAACCTATACTGGCACTATTACCTTTTTGTTAGATAGAAATGGGTCAGGCCCACGGGCATACCCCATCCCCATTAGGATACCCATGAGACTCACTTTTCCATTTCCTCCTAGAGTACAGTTTAGGAGACCCCATGTCCCACCTCCTGTCCCTGTATTATCGCCCCCAATATTATCCCCGAATTTCCTTAAATCTTTAGGGCCTTATGTACAACCTGTTGTACGACCCAATATAGCGAACATACCTCTACCCAGACACATCTCCATCTCATCTACTTCAAATTTGACTTCCTCTAGTTCTTCTGACTCTCTGGATTCCTCTTACTGCTTAAACACCTCTACTGCTACTAGAAAGAAGAGGACTTATTCTCAGGCTGGACTTCCTCCTAGTTTTGACTTCTCTGAGCAGGAACCTAGTGGGAAAGGAGAGTAGGCTAGGGCCGAGTAAAGTATAACTTGTACATATATGTAGGTATAATTACTAGTGACTGAGGGAATGTATAAATAGAAATCTTTAACCGTTGTTAACTTTTGGAGGAAATGGTATTTTTGATAATCATGGGTCTAGGGAGAAAGCTTTTGAGGTCATTTTTGTTGATGTTGTCTCTGATATCGTGACCCCACTTTATTTTGTATGTAAATCAGCTATGTGTATATGTTTATATGACTGGATGACTGTATATTTTGACAGATGATATGTATATATGTATTTGGATAACTGATGCAGATGGTGTATTTAGTTTCTATTAATGTGAACAGATGTAAACTCATACATGTGACTTTCTTACTGCTTGAATTATTTTAATATTATATTTATATTGATGGCATAATAAGTAGTAAGGGTGTCACATCTAGCATTTTCATCTCTAGTATAACTACTTATCTACTCCATCGTATTTTTCTCATAGTTTTCATCCTTTTTTCTATCATGCTTATCTCAATATCTCGAATCTTAGACATGTTTTCTTAAGTTATGCCCAAAGTCAATAACTTCTTCCTCTATATCCTCAATACATCTGTAAGAAATTTATAATCACTCTTTAAATAATCATTATCATAAGTGATACTTATGTCAAGATGAATCAAGACATAAAGTCTTATCGAAATAGTTCTTACATAAGTTTAAAGTGAAAAAGTGTTAGTTTATAATGAAACTGGACTTCATTAATTGAAAAGGTATGAAATAGAATATAAAGTTTATTTGAAGAATTCAAAATACTCCTATAAAGATGAAGGGAAAACGTCACTTAAGA